AATGCATGTGTCGGAACCAGTCTTTGTAGATCGAGCTAAAAAAAATTCAGATTATTTGAATTTTTCTTTTTCCCAGTTTCTAAACTTAAAAATATTTTCAACGAATTCGACCCTGTTCCTATTATGAGTTTAAATTTTTAAAAGAAATTTTAGCTTACAAGTCCAATTAGCCCTTTCCGAAAAACTTAAGACAAAAATAGGTCCCCGGTGTATTTAATACGCCCCAATTTAATTTCATATGAGGCTTGACTTGGGTCGCATTTAAACCTTGGATCGGTCTATGATGGATGGGCCTTTGTACCTCTTTGTTCTATATGCTATGGGTTATCAATGATGACCAAAGAAATGACAATTTTTTTAAAATAAAACTTAATTTATAAAATAATATTCTTAATATAACATTTTTTTTTAAACCTGTATATTAGACGGCAAGAACTTTACAGTCCCCTTCGATTGGAGCTAAATTTCAGCTGATATTGAATCGGATAGTTTATATAAAGGGCCAAGATCATGTATAATATATTCCTTTATATTTTTATATATTGTTACTATTATAAAAAAAAAATTCGACAAAAAATTGTAATAGTTTTTAGTGATATATATTTTTCCTCTTCAATAATATAAATAAATACGCGGTACTCTACAGTGTTGTGATGATTAAATGAAACATGTTAACGATTAAACTAAAACCCATCTATATAAAAATAATTTGTTTGCAAAAATAATTAAACAAAAGGAGGAATAAAAGAATTTTCAATAATGCTTGGTCTATATTTTAATTATTTTTGCGAACAAAGTATTTTTTTATATGGATGAGTTTTAATTTAATAGTCAATATGTTTCATTAAATCATATCATAACACAGTATAATTATATATATATGTTATCGTCAATGTGTTTTTTTCCCATGTGTATTATTTAACTATAAATTATTTTTTTTTTGGCGCGTTATTGGTTTTTCCAAATATTTTTTGTATATAAATTGTAATATGACTCAAAGATTTTAACGATAAAATTTTCTAAAATTCATAAGATAGGTATATTCTAAACATGCCGAAATCCATTTCCGGTAAAATTTGATTTTTAAATTTAAAAAAAAAACGCGCTCAGAAAATGATTTAAAGTTTAGAAAGATATTTCAGAATTATGGCATTTTGATTTTACTGTAATATTATATATCATATATTTATAAAAATTTGTTAGATTTCAGAACTTCTTTATAAACCTTATATATTATTTGTTTCAAAAAGAGAATCCAATTTCACCCGGGGGCTCTTGAAACATTTGAAACTTTTGGCGATTACCTCAATAGATTTAGCAAAAAGCAACCTTCCAAACATTGGGATATCGCTGCTCTACTCACTCCGTTAACCAAACAAAACAATTTATTATTTTTTTACAAGAAAACGAATTTCATTATTTTTTGTTATTTTCTATTTTAAATCTCATTTTTAGAAAGAAATGAAAGAAAGAAGAAAAAGTTTTAAACTATTTGAGACATTTTAAAATGGTGGACAAACGTTAAGGAGAATTTGAAATCTAATTCATGGATTAAACTAGCGGCCTATTTATTTTTGTTGTGAATGTGATAAATAAATGTAAATTGGATTAAGTCTGCGATAAGATGTAGGAATCAGTAATATTTTTGAAAAATATTTTAGACGGCATCTGGATTTTTAGGCTTGGGATGGGGGAAGGGGATTTCTCCCTTGCCCGTTGCGTACCACCTGACATTTACTCCATAACTTTACTACTTTTAGAAAGTTTAGACATGCTTAGAAATAGATTTCAATGAAATCGTGTGATAAATTTATGTGAAATTAGTAAAATTTCCTGAATTATTTTTTGGATACAAATGTCTATTATTATATATTTAAAAAAGAGTTTATTTATATTCATTAAAGGTTTGAAAGTCTGTGAATTTAATATGTTTTTTGTTGATGTTTTGGACACAGTCATAATAAATATTAGGAGTCTATTATTTTTTTTTCAATTTATATTTATTTTAGGTTAATTACGGGTCCATATTCGGGTAAAATTATTGTCACTTATTTTATATATATATATATTGTATTTATTTATAATATATATAAGATAATAACAGTTTATCATTTTTTTTAAATTGAATTGGACAATTTTGATTTTATTTTATTTTAAAATAAAAATTTTATTTTTATATTATATCAATGACATATATAATATTATCTAGACTGACGATGCATTCATAATAAGACATTTGAAAGCGTCTTCGAATGTAAATCAGCTTGACCCACCATTTTGGTAATCCGTATATTAATTATTCGCATGTTGAAAACTACTATTAAATTAATAATTTGCTTCCTTATTATCTCGATAATCAGGCAATCCTTTAATAAAGCTTGGGTCAAACATAGAAATAAATTGGCCTGTTGTTTAAAATTGTTAATAATAATATATGCAATCAAAATGGAATCCCCAGCTGTTTTCATTGATGTACACTTTTAATGAATGCATCGTCAGTCTAGGTAATATTATGTCATTGAATTATATCGAAGTAAAAGTCTATAATTGCTCTTATTTATTAATTGGGAATTTTTTAAGCTTTTATTATAAGATCTAAAAATTAATTCTCTTAAGAGTTTGCCTTTATGGATTTAGAAAGAAAGTATTATGTTAAAATATTAAAATACTATAACTCTATAAATAATTTATAGATAAAGTGTATAAATATTAATCTTTTCAGGAATAGCGGATATGAAACACTTATGTGATAGGGGAATATCTAAATTTGTATCAGATTATTTTGGATTAGGAAGTGCATCTACATTTACCCATGAGATAGGACATTGGTAAAATATTATGATAAAATTTTACCTTAAATTATATATTTTTTTTTGGTCCCAAAACCATAGTGAATAACACGAGAATACATCTATGTATGTTGAACCTAATTTTTTTCTATTTTTAAGCATATAATTGATGCATTCACAAGATGAAGGGTTTTTCGGGATTTTCGATACTTTAATAAAAATTAATAATGTATCTTATTTGTTAGTTTATAGAATACATTGGAAATTGGAACCTTTAAATTAACCAAATCCTCTAATAGGAAAGGTTTCCTTCTCTAGCATGTAATAGAGCACTGAAGAGTTATTTTTGAGTATATATTTTCAAATTAACGCATATACACAAACGTACATGACGAAAATTGTCGGAAACGATATGGTATAGGCACAGCGCCATATGTACTGAAATGCATTCGTCAAAACAGATTTTTTTAAAAATCTCATAATTTAAAATTGAGAGTTCCAATTCCCAGTAAATACTATAAGGTCAATATTCCTTCAAAATGTCGTTTATCAGTGTTAAAAACTTTTGGTTGGATGTTTTTGGAAGTTATGTATTGTTAACCCTGAGAAAATAGCAGTTTTTTTAAATTTACTTAAAATTATAGTAAAATTATTGATGTATTTTATTCCCCAAATTTATTATGTAAGTTAAGCTTAACATCTGTGGCATAAAAATTTTTATACTTATGAAATACTACCTATCAATTATTTATTAAATTGATGCCAAAAGCAATACAATACAAATATGATAAAATATTGTTTAGATCATTATAAATAGTTTGAAATCAAAATGCACTGTATTGGTATTGTAAGCCAGAACCTAGTCAAGATCCCGTTCTCCATTGGATCCACTAATTTTATTCACATTCTTCATTTTATTTAACCTGTGAGGAAAACTATTTTTCCTGGAATTAGATATTCCCTAAGGATTATAATAAAAAAAATTTTAAAAGATGAAGAAAAGGGAGTTTTTTTTTGTTTTATCATATCCAAAAAACTTTTTATAAAGATCTCTTATTAGACTCCTTTAATTTTAAATAAATACACAGTTTAAAAAATTATCTTTTAATTTTAAAGTTTATTGGAAAACTTAACCGCCTATAGAATTCTTTTAAAATATCTTTTTGGAATTTTATAGGCAAATAGAAACTTGAGGTAGCTCAATACACTTGCTATTAAAATTTTAAAATAGTATAAACTAATTTAAATCTGATTATATGTTAGGATTTAATTGATTATTTCTATACAGTCTTGGAGCTCCTCATGATCCAGGAAATGGCGCTATGGGAAGCGAAGATTGCTTAAAATTTAAGGATCAAAGCCGCGGCATAATGGGATATCGACATGTAGGTGAAGAAAGGTATCGATGGTCTGAATGCAGCAGATACTTTATTCAGAACTACATAAAGTTAGTATAATAACTTTATATTGTACTATTTAAATATGTATTTATTCTTAATACAAATATATATAAGGAATTCAGTTTTTTAAATATAACCAAATTTTTTCAACTTTAAATCATTTTTAAGTGCGTTTCTAAAAATTTTCGATTTTACCGGAAATGTATGCCGCCATGTTTGGAATACCTACCCTAAGAATTTCAGACAATTATGCCACATGAACATTTAAACATAATATACTTTATATTAAATTTACCATATTTTTTTATATTAATTATAAAATGACGTCAAAGGTTAACAGCAAAATTGCCTATGATTCATAAGATAGGTATCCAATCATGATTGAATATATTTCCAGTAAAATGCGATTTTTAAATTTAATAAAACGGGCTCAAAAAATGATTTAAAGTTGTAAAAATAACCCATTGCTGGAAAAAACACATTGACCCTAACATATATATTCCTTTTTTTATTTGAGGAATAAAAATATGAAAATGATCCTTTTTGCCTTATTTGTTACGATTATTTTGACATTTATGATTCTCTCATAAGATTTAAACTTCCTTTTGGAAAAATTTTTTACAAAAATTATTTTTTTAAAAAAAAGAAGATATTTTATAAAAAAATTAAAAATGTATATTTTTAGCACACCGCGCCACAGATGGTGTTTACTAGAAATTCAAAATAAGGGCAGAACTTTCGTGTCAATAGATGATTTTATCCCAGAATATAATTGTAACGAATTTTGCGGGTCCATGGCAAATGCATCGAAGTGCTCTTATGAAAAAGTATAACAAACAGAAATATCTTTTAATAAATATTATTTTTAAAAAAGATAAAACAACTCTATTAAATTGTGCAAATTTCTGATTTTTATATCCTGATTTCATAAGCGTAGCTAGCCATAATTTTTTTTAATGGGTTGGTTATAGTTTGGAGAGTCTAAGTGTTTAGCCTAATGTGAAAGCTCACTTTTATTGAAATAGCAATTTGCTGAAGAAAGCGTCCAAATTTTTATTAAAATATAATAAGATCTATTTTTTTAAAACAAATTTATATTAATAAAATCATCAACTCGCTTCTGATCTACTACATCTTTTATCCGGTGTATAAAACCACCTAAGTTAAATTCAGAAAAAAGGCTAATCCTGACTGGATACAAAACCAGATCTATGAAGTATGATCCGATTTTTAAAAACGGCTAACTAAATATTTTAGCCAGAAAAATATTGCCTAAGCCTCGAGATTTAGATAATATTGTCTATACCTTTGTTTCTTCTATGAGCAAAGTCTTCAGGCATAAAGGTTATCCTCAATTATTGATTAAGTCATAGAACATTTCTCGAAAGAAAGGAAAAGATTTTGTCTGCATTATATTAAAACCATATGTGGTCATGTCAATCCAAACAATATAAATGTGCTAAATAAAATCTTTGGCCAAACTCACCAAATGCTTTTACAATTAGCTTAAAAAAATAAAAAAAATTACATTATAAAACTAAACTAAATAAATGAAATTAAAAGAAAAGAAAAACAAATAATAATATTTATAGTATAATTTAATTAAGTTTTAATATAAATTTAAAAAAAATTTTACATTATTTTTTGGGAAAGTTCCATTCTCGTACTCGTTCCTTAAACGATCCATAATTTTTCCCAAGTTCAGTTATACCAGAACTTGTCTGGAAAATTTCCAATCCCTGAAACTTATAGACTATTATTTCATGCATTTAAACTACAATTTTAATTAATGATACAACTTGTTAATATAGTTGGGTATATAAAAATAAACTAATTCCACTCAATGCAAAAGTGCGCGCCAGAAACTGAGTCAATCTATACATAATTTCTTCAAAGATGAGCTATATTTTAAAAAAATTAAACAAACCTTCAAAGTTGAAGTTCTCGCTCAAAAAAACTCATGTCATCCGTTTTTTAACAGTTTTTTAGCCCGCTTAAAAATTAGCTAAAACGGCCTAAAATATAAAAATATAAATAATTGATCAATTTGTAAATATAACTTTCATTGCAAGTTTTCTAAATGATACAATATTATGTTTGAAATACTGCTTACTTATAAATTTCTTATTTATTTTAATTTACAGTTATTATCTTAAAGTTCTCCTAAACCGACTATTTGGTTAAACCTATGCTTGTTAAGGTTGTATTATCTAACTATCTATCGAAATTTTGAAGCCCCCATTCAAGCTTTAGATCCTTTTTTTTAAATAAAGGCTAATCATTTGTGTCGTCCATTTTTTTATATCCGCAAAAATAAAATATTTGTATTTTTTTTACAGTCAACCTGTTTGAAAATAACTTGTGTTATTGGGGAGGATGCCTTTTATTACACTGCTACTCTCGATGGGATACCCTGCAATGGATCTTCGATTTCCTCTATAAGAACTGGATGGGTAATATATTTATAAGAATAATAAAAAATAAATCTTTTTTGCCCCTGAATCATTAATACATAAAACATAATTAATGATCAAAAAAGTTTTCTGTCGCTTCATTAGTTTCTATTCCGAGAAATTTTTTTTAAAATTTATATTCAACTAATGTTTTTAAAAAAAATAAAATGCATATTCATGATTAAGGAATGTTACCAAGGAAAATGTCTCAAGAAACTTAGACCTTCGAAATACTCACTAACAAAATAAAAATAAGCAAATAATTTATTATAAAAAAATTCCTATTTTTACCGTTATGTTTATATTCGTTTTCTAATGCTAACACAGGTTCAATATATATATATATATATATATATATATCAATGCACGGGGTTTTATAATATTTTCATTTTTATTTTAAAGGTATTTTTATAATTATAAATATAATATTTTGTAAAGATTTTAATAAAAAAGAAAATATTTTCCAATTTTTAATTTGCATTTTAAATATTTATAATTTAAAAAAAAATTATGGAACTAATGTTCTATGGAGAAATGTTTTATTAAATTCGAAATGTTTCATAAGAATAATAGAGATCAAGTGCGATTGTCATTATTATTTTTTCTATCTAAAATATTAAAAAAATAATATATAGTTTTTATATGATGAATTAAAATGTGTAAATTCTTCGGTTAAGATGATTTTTTGTCAGAATGTAATCTTTTATTTTTAGATTTGTATTTGAAGAAGAAACAGAATTATTGGACAATAAAAATCAACAAATTAATATTTCAAAAAGTAGTTATAACTTATTTTCTAAAACAACCTATAATTAAACAAAAACTTCAATGTAAGATTCCAAGTAGTCAGAAAAACTATAATATTTCTCGTTTTTCTAAGGTTAAGGCCATACTGGAAGAATGATAATCATATTCCATGTTGAACAATATTTTGGTTCAAGGTTATAAATTATTTATACAAGAAGAGTATTATAATTTTTATGAGTGGCATGTTTGGCTCATATTCGAGATTCATTGATTGAGAAACTGCGGAATATGGGTTCGAAACAAAGTTAATGGTGCAATATTTCTTTAGAAATTAATTTTAACGAATATGTTCGGGTCAGGATTAAAGAAAGACAATTTATAATCAACCTCTATACGATAAATTTTTCCCAGGATCCTATAAAAAAACAATTACCTTCTAGTGAGGTTATTTCTGATCTTCTAGTGAATGCATATCTGATTTTAAATCATTTTATCTATATAACTATTTTAATAATTTAAATTCATTTCTATTTGGGCTTGTATTGTTTATATTAATTGTGTTATACATATTAATGAATAAGAATAAATATATAGAATAACTTGAATGTGATGTGGTCTTTTTATTTAATAATATCGTTAGACAAGTGATCTTTTTATTGAATAATATGGTTATACAAAAGAAAATAAAAATGAATGGTTTTTATCTGTGTGTATATCAAAAATAATCATTCTTTATATATCTCGAAAATCAATTGTTTCCAATCACGTTATACAATTAACAACCTTTAATATATTATTACAATCTAAATATATCTTCTTTTCGCCTTAAGTGAAACATTTGTCAAAAAGTAATATTAAACATAAATGTAATTGAAAACACCACTTTAAATACATAATATAAGTTGTATCATACAACACATATATATCCCATTTTCCCGCTATTTTTCCCAGTACTCCCCAAGACTTAAATTTCCGGAAATTTCACATCCCTAGGTTAAAGTTTCTTGATTTATTTTATCCGTCGGTATTTTATTTATGAAAATATTAATCTTGTACTAAATTTTTTTCCCATTCAGTTTAAAATATTTCGAAAATTTCCGAAAAAGGAAATTCCCACAGAATCCTTTTCCAGTAAAAAGTGAGTTACTTTTAACAACAAAAACCCGGTATAATTTCTTATTTTTCTGATACCATTAAAAATTATGACATATAATATACATCAATAGATTGCAAATTTAATTATGATTTCAAATGTATAATTTTATATATATATGTATATTTTTAAAAAAATTCACAATGCTCATTATCATTCACAAGTTTTTATAAATAAAAAACATAACAAATAGCCCTAAATAAATAATTTATAAACAGAGGGCGCTAAATTAAATGGCATAAACTAATATTATTTGTATATTTAAAATGGTAATTTTTTTTTAAGATCATAATAATAATGAAACAAATTTTGAATACAAATAAATAGCCCATGAACAATTAAAGAAAGAGAATCTACCTCATTTATACACATACATATATTTCATAATCCACTATATTAATCTATCAAATATTTTATTATAAATAATAAATAAACATCTTATACATACATATAATACTAACAATTTTTTAGCAGTTAGGTTTTTTCCTACTGATGTTTTTGTTTTTCACTTTTTAATATTTTATTAATTTTTCTTCATTAAGTTAATTTTTTATTAGAAAAATGTCTATGTAAAATTAATCAATTAAAATGACGGCTGTTTAGGAATTAATTTTATTTTGTTTGATAATTAATTGTAAGTAAAAATTAAAATAATCTTTAAAATGAAAATATATTTCTGATGATCACACAGATAATTAATTATTCGGCAATGAAAAATAAACTACATCATTCACTCACAGAGTTGCCAGGTCAAAAAGTCATTTAAGAAGAAATTTGGGACGAATATAATCTTTAGGTTGGGGTAAAGAGATCATTGAGCTCATTTTTTTTATTATATAGTTGTTACTTTATTACTTTTTACAAAATCTTATTATTTATTCCTTATAATGCTTCCAAATTAAAGCGTTTTGCGTTATATTTATATTAATTTAATACATTGGTAAAGTTATTTTTGCCTTTTTTTAAATTTTTTAGGATTTTAGTTTTAATATTATTATTCACATATATTGCCCACCTTTTTTTAAAAAAAATAATTACTCTATATTTGGTATACTATAGGATTTAAGCCATACTACTTATATTTAAAGTGTAATAACTATTGGCCGAGTACTCGTCTTAATCTAGGATTTTGTACAAACATTAAGTAATATAATGTCTGTCTGTAAAAAAAAATTGAAGGAAAAATTTTTTTTATTTTATAGCCATTACCGGTATTCGAATTGTTTTTGGTAATAGATCTAATTTTAAAATAATAAATTTTGTATCGTAGGCTATTCTAGAGCTATTTAAAAAAATTAAAATTATGTCTTTAGCTTAATTACTTTTTGAGATATTTAAAGTTAAATATAATATATTTTGATGGTCATAACTCATGAAGTAAGTTGTAATACCATCTTAGAAATTTTAAAAAAAATCGAAAAGGGTGTGGTTAAATCTTCATTTGATTTAATATGGAATGACAACTCCAATCGCCTGACTTTAAAACAAAAACAATTAATAGTAATATCATATCTTCTCGAAAATATATTGAAAAACGTCCATATCTGTCAATTATAAATAGACAGGCACAACATAACCTTTAAAATTCTTTTTAATACAAAATGAACCTTAATTTTAAAACCCTTAAGAAAAAATATAGATTTCGAAAATATTTTTATTTTAACTTATTTTTCATTATTTTGTAACAATCATCATTTATTAAGTAGCGTCTAACCCAATGACATATAAAAATAACTAGACTGAATTCATTATAAGTGCGCATCAATAAAAACAGCTGGGTACACCATTTTGATTAATATATTTTTATTTGGTAATTTTATATATTTTTACATATTTTTATATAGTTGTTTTATTATTTTAGTGTTTTATCAATTTTTTAAAAAATTTTAAAATTAAATACAAATATAAAATATCAAGGGAATTTTAAATTTCCTATGAATCTTCTTGAGAATCCTTAAGAATTCATCGTTAGTTGTGGACTTTTATAAAAAAAATAATAATAATAAATAAAATAAATACATTTCTCGGGCCGGTTTTTTCGAGTTATCTGGGCTAGGCTGAATAAAAGCCTAACTCAAGGAAATTTTTTAATTGGATTAAATATATCATGAAAGCAGTGAGAAAAGTATAATTTGAGATATATATAATCTGACATATAAAAATGATAGCAAAAAAAAAATCACGAGTAAATACTAACCCAAACTCACCTTCTATCGTATCAAATGGAGACCCCATTTATTTCTATCAATTAGCTAATCGGCAAACCAAGAAAGATACTGATAGAAGATAAATAAATGGGTATGAATAAATAAATGCATTTAATGCGGGTTAAAAATTCTATATAATTCGAAGCTTAATTATTGATATCCCTGTTTAACAAAAAAAACAAATCTTATAATCAATTCATAAAAGTCAGTTTGACTAACCGCCCGCATGCCCCCCCCCCTAGCATTGAAAATTTTGAAAGGCGGATTCAGCCCCCCTATAATCAAAAAATATATACTCTTATGGGTAATCATTTATTAAAGCAAAGGATCCTTGGATTCGGGTCAGCACAAATGAATCCTATTGATAAGACTGTTGCGTCGTTAGTAGATGCCATCAAGTACAAGTGTATATATAAACCTTCCCTTAGAAAACCACTTGATGGCATCTATGTTAGAAAGATAATGGATTAAGGTTAATTAAAGGTTTGAAAGATATGAGGAAAAAAAGATATTATAAAAATGGCTTTTAATAAATATTTTATTAATATTTTGTCAAATCTGACAGGTTATATGATTGAAAATTATTTACTTGAATTGGGCCATATTCTAAATTTTGACATCTGTAAATCTCCCAATTTAAATGCAATAGTTTTTTTTAAATATTTTAAAAATTATATTATATTAATTCAAATTCCAACATCTGTAATTTAAAAAATATAGATAGTATAATTTATTTTATTTTAAAAGATTTGTATATAAGAACAGGAAAGTTATTGTTAATTCCTATCTATTTTATGGATCCATGTCATATCATCTTTATCGATCATGCTGTCTTTCATTAAAGAATAGCCAAATTTTTCCTCTACATCAATCGAATTCCTTACTTCCATTTCTTAAATCTTCTGTCATATCTTACTCTAGTCCCGCCTATCTCTTAATGTTTTCTAATCCGGATACATCGTTTTATCTCTCAAATCTTCTTTCCATGTTTTCGGACCACTCTCTTCTCACTGGAAGTTCAGTGTTTTCAGACCCGAATTAATTTTTTTTAAATTTTGATGCCAGAGCATGAATTTGTCAGAGATTTTTAATGTAAGGAGTTCGCTTCCTCTTCAAGCCATTGTGTCAAAGGTTCTTATAAATTCAAACTACACTCCCCCTTCCCCACTCCAATCGAGATTTAAAGGAAGAAATTGCTTTACATCCTCTCCGCATAAGGGAAAGGACCTATAGTACATGACGCTATTGAAAGACATTTCTTTTAATAGCGTTTCAATTTCGTTTAATAGTTTTTTAATGGCAGACATCAATGTTATATATCAATTTTTAATGATGCATTATAATGAATCCATCATCAGTCTAGGTTAGTTTTAATGTAACTTTTTTTATTTTTATGATAGTTATTATTTAAAAAGCAAAAAAAATAGTTAGCATTTTTTTTCGGGGCACCATCTTTCTTTTAATCGTTCGGCAATATTTACTCTTAAATATTTGCCAACCTCTCAAATATCTAATAATTGTTAAAAGTTACTTTAAAAGATACCCCCAAAGTAACTAGTTTTACAATTTAAAAATAAATTAGTTACATAGATAGTTACTTTTAAATAATTTTTATAACTCATCATTTTTAGTATTTTATTATACAAAATTTCTACAAATTTTATTATACAAAATTTATACAAATTGTATTATACAAAATTTATACAAATTTTAATTATCAAAGGAATCCAATTGAAAATATGATATAATTATTAAAGAAATAAACTACATTATTATACCACATAATTATTTTGTATGGAATATCATTTTTTAGTATATATTTTCACCGAAAAAAAATATATAAATAATACATTAAAATATTTATTTCTCATTAAAATTTTAAGTTAATAAATTTTTATTAGCTATTTTCAAAATTTGTAAAAGATGTGAAAGGTGTGAAATTTTCTCTAAATTATGTCGATCCAGGATACAAATAAAAACCTTCTATTATTATTTAATCTTCAATTTGTTAAATGAATCGATTAGTTAAATGTTCATTTTCGTACTAATAATAAAATTTACTATTTTTATTCGAATTAGAATAATTCATTTTTTTTAAAAAATTATTATAAAATAATTTGTAAACGAAAATATATTGACAGAATAGATTTTTATTAAAAAAATTAATATAATAATATGATGATAAATAACATATCAAGTTATTAAACGAAATTAACGTGTTTGACAGCAAATTATATTTCAACTATGAAAAGATTTATATTTAATAAAAAATAAATTTCGTTGAAAAATCATCATACTTACATCCTTTTTAAATGTAACTAACAGTTCCTTTTCCACAAAAATGTAACTGTTTACTTTAACGGCACTGCCTGCCACCTAACTTTCATTCCCCTCACATATATTTTGGTATGAGATAAATTTTATTATCATATTTTACATATTTTATATATATTATTGTTAAATTTATGGATTTTTTTAATATATTTCAGTTTTTAGAATAATAATTGTCATATAAATCTCCAAAAAATAAATAAATAAATAATACACTTAACGAAGTTTATTGGACTTTTACTTCGTAAAAAACATTTTTACACAAAATTAAATGTATAGTAGTTTTTTTTTTAAACTATAATTATCTTTTATTTTTTTAGTGAAAATGTTAATCTGTGAAAATGATAATCTACTTTCACTTATAATGAGAAAATGTTATTTGTGTTTCATATACCATTAAAAAAATAAATTCTTGTGTTCAAAAAAAATTTTCAAATTTTGAATAGATAATTGATTCAAATTTCCAAAAAAAATATTTTCAAATGAATGATTATCAAGGCCATAATAAGGAATAATATGAACATATTCTGGTGCCAATTTTGAAAGGATAGGGGAATACCAAAAATTAGGATGATTAGTTAAATTTAAGCACGTGTTGAAGTGAGAACGGATAATTAATTGAAAAGAGAATTTAAAAAAAAACTTTAGTTGACATTTGTAATTCGGATCATGAAGGTTGATGTTTTCGCAATTAACAGAGATATATATTTGGTTATGATTGAGAGAAAGCATATGATAGACGAAGAGAATCTGGGATCATTATGATAAGGAACATGTTTAACAGGAATTTAACGTTAATTAAAAGCAAATTAGTACTAATGATTCAATATCTATCTTTCTTACCTTTTATATTCCCATGATGTGCCATATTCAGTCATGGTATCCCTCATGGGAAGGAAAGGTTAGTATTCTAGGCACATTTGTCCATATTTATAAATCTTATAGGATAGAGTTGAATTAACTTATTATTGGAGAACTGGTGGAATATCAAGGAAAAAATTTGACAAATATCTAAAAATAACGTTCCTTATCTGATGGATGGAAGAATAGTTGATAAAGGAGAGAAAAATTTTTCATACCTAGAATAGAGGGCTAGACTGCCATCAAACCCGAATATTACCAGCATTTCTGTATGGCTCAAATTCTTAAGATATCAGAACAAAATGCGGAGAAAAGGGTTGAATGTTAGAAATTTCAATAAAAAAAACAAACCTTGAATCCATAAAAGTTTAGGAGGTTGGCGCTGGTGCTAAGCAAATGAATTAGGGGAGGGCGATATTTTAAAAATGGCGGAATTAAGAAATTTTTTATTATTATTCATATCACGCAATATTTAATCTTTAGTGTTATCTTTTTTTTAAAGATAAACTTTGTCTCATGCCAACATTTCTTTATGTCAATTATTTTGCTTATTAACTTTTAAATTTCGAAAAAAAAAATTTTTTTAAATGTAATACAAGAAAAAAATTTATTACGTGGCTAAACATCATAATTTTTTATATTTAACTAAGTTTTATAATTTCTTTGCATTTCTATATTTTTACTAATCCTCTGAAATTTTATGTTATTTAATTTAAAAAACCCGAAAATCATCCTAAATCTAGTGTAGTTAAGCGGCTCGTTTTGACCCCGTTTTTTAAAACGGCTAACTCAATATTTTATCCATATAAATATTATAACAAGCCTTAAGATTTGCTCGTAGATGGCACAGAGATTCGAACATTTTCTAGCTAAAATATTGATATAGTAAGTTTTTAAAAATCAGCTCAAATCGAAATCCATAGGTATAATTATAATCTTGAGATCTCCATATGTGTTATCTATAAAAGAGATTATCTCGGATCTAACGCAAATTATATAAATCGTTAAGATCGTTAAAAACTATAAGCGTCGACTTCATGGTAGCAGTGTACTCGCCCCCGATTGAAATATTTTACAAAATAAATAATCTTGACCCATTAATATTTTAAGCGTATTTGAAACGTCAAATTTACTTTAAAAAAATTTACAGCTCCCCCCCCCCCCATAGAAAATTGAACACTTTTTTTTATCACTTAAGGCCAAAAATATAATCTATGTTTGAATTTCACCAAAACTATTTATAAAAGCGAAATTAAATATTTTTAATTCATTCAGTTATTTTTTCTGTTTAAAATATCATTTAAAATTAGTATTTCGTCTTAAGATAAATTAAAGGAACAACATTATTATGATAAATTTTGGGTTTCATTGATTAATCTTACAACACATACGGATAGTCTCTACGATTTTAACCAGATCTCAAGATGTTTCTGGGGGTGTCGATTATCTTAGGAATATTATTGGTTAGAAATGATATAAAACAGAAGGTAAAAATAAGATCTAGTTAATTATAATATTAATAATTTAACTTTATCTCAAATTTTTATATGACAATAATTGTATACACTTAAAAAAGATAATTAAATAATTATTTATGATATAAAAAAAATGGAATGGAAATACATAAAATTAAAATTTTTTTTTATTAAAAAGAATTAACAATATTTTATGGAAAAATTTTTAAATAAATGGCCAAATTGAGCCTTAATTTGATTTAAAAAAAAAGATTGACATCTTGCTGAACCAATCCGGAGAAAGTAAAAATATTTCTATTTTAACTGATCGCTAGTGCCGTATGTTTGAAATAATGAGATAGGAAATTAGTATGCCGGCACCTCTTTCCAAAAAATGATTTTATTTAAGGCGCCATGTCTGGGATGACATCCTTTTAAATGGTATGAATGGTATTAGTTCCTCCACTAAGGTAGCAAAACAAGCAATAATAGAATAAAACTCTGCTATAATCGGTTAGAAGGCCTAAGAGATCCTGATAAAAAAAATGAAGATCAAGGCTAAATGCAGATGTCAGATACATTTATAACTAATGTCATTACAAATTTGAAGATAATGAGATGACGATATTTTTGGTTTGAATGAAAAAGTAACATCTAAAAGGCAATCTACATTTAAAGAACATGATGCAGGGGAAGTAGATGGAAGATAAAAACTTATAGCTTGAGCGGAATCAAAGAGAGTTGAGGATATTGGAGGGTACATAAATTGGCTATTAATATAGATCTGTTGAAAATATCTAGATAATATAAAGGAAGGATGTAAAGGTGATGAACGAACGAAGGCTTTCAGGATTCTTGGTCCCGAAATAAACGAGTGAATAAGAAGGGTGAAGATTTATTGAATATATTCATTGATTGTATATTTACGAGTTATACAAATAATGTTATTATAGAATGATTTCCTTGAATTCAATCACCAATCCAGCTAGAGAAAATCGTTTCAAATAAAGTGCGCAAGTTGCTCAAACGCGAAGAATTTTTTTTAGGTAGCATGATGCGGAAATTTGCTTCGCCCTCTTTTCCAAAAATTTAGAAAATCGATATCCTTAAATGACGTTTTCCAATAAGAATATGGAATTCGTTGTTCCAATTTCTTAGTAGAATCATAATTTGTATTCGTCAATGAATGTTTACGTAGCTAACTTTGTTGAAAAACCTTTATATGATATATCTACTATTGCGTAATTTTCCAATTTTAGCCGCCTCAAAAACTACTTAGCCTATTTTTTAGGTGAAAAATTGGCTAAACCTGATTAAATCAAAAATTAGGTATAGGCTAAGGAGGTCGGCTAATCGTCGGTCAGCGTTACGTATATGCCCAGCCATAATAGTTTAATGCCTAATTAGGTTTAGCCGATTTTTAGACTGAGCCTAATTAGGACTTAGGCGAGATCTTTATTACCCATTTAAATTTTATTATTATTGGTAAACATAATATTTTTGATAATGGTGGACAAACTGCTTTTTAAAGAAAGTTTGAAAGGCCATGCGCCCGACGATATAAAAGTGGGCTGCGCGTCAACGTGATTTAGATAATTTACGCGCATTCTAGAGGGGTATATAAAAATGTTGTCGGTTGAATATTGCCCAACTTTAACTTTTGGACTGCTAGAAAAAATTAAATGGTTAAATTTTTATTCCTCCCCCCTTATTTAGAATAAAGATGGTTAATTTCTCTGGGTCTAAAAAATTATTATTTTTTTTAAACTGGGAGAATGCGTTAGAAAAATCAACGAATAAAAACACCCGGCCCGAACCGACCAAAAGAGTGTGAGGAAGGGAAAATTATTTTTAAACAAAAACTTTTTCCTAAATATTCGCGCATCATGTTTTTTTTTGTGCCTTCCAGAAGTGCGGCTTGGCTCGTAAAATGTCTAATTTTTTTCTTTTTTTTGCCATTCCTATGATTACCCGAAATTTACTAAGAATAATTTTCAATTCTCATTTTTGAAAATTTTAATAAAAATATAAATTTATATTATTTCCAAAAGAATTGTTTTTTGTATAAAGAAGAAAGAGAAAAATGATTAAAATTTTTCATGAATTTATATAATTAATTTTTCCTAATAAATTATGATTTTTCTTCTGCCAGTTGTTTTCAAAATTTGTATCTTATAATACAAATTACTAAGGTTTAAAAAAATAAAAATATTTTAAAGGGATATCATTCCAATTTTATGATCATAAACTATATATATATATATACCTATGAAAAAAAAAATCTAAAGTTTAGTAGTGAATTGAGTTATTATAAAAAATTTTAATATTTAATAATTTGTTAGAAATTGGTCGTCTTGATTTTGCTTAAAATAGTGTACTACAAGTTATATCATCTTTTTTAAATTTAGAAAATTTGTCAGGATTTGTATTCAATAATCAAATTCAGGATCTATAGGAAATCATTTTTTTTACTGAGAATAAGGGCTTGTCAGATAATTTTGTTCCAGACTAAAAACTTCCGCCACACGTTAGCTTTTATAGTTTATTTGCTAAATTCACGCAATTATTTTAATGGACCATCTGGCACCCTCTGTAAATTTTAAATTAAAAAATTAATAAAATTTATAAGACATTAAATAGTCTATCTGGCAGTGTCCTATAGGTTTAACTTATTACTAAAAAGTCAGCTGTTTACTCGGCTATTTAGTTCAGTTTAAAAAAACAAAAATAAAATAAAAAACGAAAAAAACAATGCTACTAAATACTTAAATCAAACTAAGATAGGGTGTCTTAGTTTCAATAGGCTATAGAGTAACTCTATCAAAAGCTGAACCAGGAAATAGACTATAGTTTTATAATTTAAAGTTTCTTAAATTTTTCCCAGATCAGAGCAATTTGTTTCTTAATGCTGAGACCAGAATCAAAGACACTAAAAGCAGTGCAGTTCAGAAAAAAGGTTAATTTTTTATTTATTTCATATTTGAATATATTAAAAAATGCTATAAAAATATTGAGATAATAATTCCTATGTTAATTGCTAGAACGAATCATCCAAGAATTTTTTAAGTGGAATCTATTGGTGTTGTTAACAGCTCAATCTTACCAATTTTAAATTACGATTTTAGTCAAAATTATTTAATAGATGTCTCTGACCTGTCTGCCATCTATAAGCAAAATCTCCAGGCTGAGAAGTTTAACAAAACTAATTCTGAGTATTCAAGATATAGAAGTATGTCAAAAATTTTATACTTAGAGCTAAAGCCATACCATAGAGTTTTAAAGTTAGAGACGCATAACGCTAAAAAGATGGCAAGCCTAAAATTGAACGTTTCAAAATTGATTCTACGAATTTTTAAATTTCGAATGTTTGCAATATTAAATTTTTTTATCATCTCCTTAGTTTTTATTAATTTCAAATGATTTTTCAAATTTTAATAGAATATTATTTATTAAATTTTTATTTTTTTCAAATGATAAAATGCTAAAGCGCTCTTTTGATATATTTTTATAATAAAATTTAAAAAGATCTACTCAATAGCCAGCAGAAAGCTGAGATCTTCTGATACAATCAGTATATAATTTGTCCAATGATGTCATAGTTAATCACCATTAGAATAAATGAAAAACTTATTGGGTGTTCAACAATAGGTTCCATTCATGGAATAAATAATCGAAACGCTCAAATCTTATAGATCAGATGATTTGTGATACGATAGGTAAAACATCTATTGACGGAAAATCCTTTTATTTTCAGGACTAATAATATGTAAATGTTAGTGTAATGGCTGAAGTACATTTATATGGATAACAATTTTTCTTTAGCACCAAACATATTTTATCAGGTTCTAAGATTTTGCTATAAGGGATAGGAAGGGGAAAGCACTATTATGTGACGTAAAATTTTATTGAAGGTTTAGGTCCATTTACACTCATCGCCCTTTAATTCCAGAGAAGAAGAAAAAATCAGGGAATATTTAGACGGAAGATTTTTTTAAAAATATATCTTAATTTACTTATTTTTCCATCATATTTTACTTAGTTAGTAGTATAGGTTTTTATAAAAATAAAAATTACTTGCTTAATATTTTAACTTATAAGGTTGTTTTGTTTTAGAAAAAATTTTTCATTTATTTAATCCTACTAAATAATTAATTTTTATTTTAATAAAGAGAAATAATTCAAATTAAGGGTTCATTGATAAAGGGATTAAAGTTAAAAAAAAGAATTTATATATTATAAATTATAAATTACATTCAAATTATTATAAATATATTCTTAATTATATATTACTAATATTTTATATTTTATACACGGCTTCTTATTTGTTTGTTTCTTTTGGATAAAATTTATAATATATATAAAAAATATAATTAATTTTTTTTAATGAATCGTAAAACTGGATAAAATATTCCAATTTAATAGTTCATCAAGTGAAATAAATTTTTTGATTAAAATATGTAAATAAATTCAATCTCTTAAAATTAAGATGATAGTAATAAACATTGATTAATAAAAATATAAAATTCAGTTTATAAAAAAAATTTGCCACGATGAATTCGAGCATTCCTTCATGCCCTAAATTCAATATAAATACGGCTAGACTTTACAATGTGGAAATGGGTCTCATCAACTTACAAATTATTATATATCTCGTAGCAGTACCTCTACAATCAATTTTAGGAATATTGGGAAACCTTTTGAGCTTTTTGGTGACAAGAAAACTTCCCGATCCAATCAGCAGTCTTTACCTGAGGTATTTAGCCCTTTTTAACGCCTTTGCGTGTTTTTTCGACCTGTTCTACCCATTTTTGGAGAAGTTAGGACATTCGATTCTCACGACGTTCCAATTTACTTGCCAGTGGAATGTGTTCGTTAGGAAATTTTTAATACTGACCTCAAAAACATTTAGAAGAAGTTCGATAATGATAATGACTTTCTTCTTCCTAGATCGATATATAGTTGTGACGCATCCCGATAAAACTAATCACTGGCGGAATAGCGCATTTCATTCCTATATACCTTTGTCTTCTTTAACATTCGCGATGGTATTTTCTCTACCAATCCTCAAATGGTACCGCATAACTAAATGTGCCAATGTGTTATACTATTCTACGGGTCATGATGCCGCTGCTTCGATGTCAACTTTATCTTCCCGCTTCAGGGATTCGTCATTTTGCTGATAATGATATTCTACATAAAACGGGCATCTTCTGCGATAGGCACATAGTGAGCAATCGAAGCTTTTGGTACATATTTTACGAGGTAATCAGGGAATTAATATGGATATACATTCCTACCGGAGCAATGTGTTATTTTATGATAATGATAGGAATATCCATCATGAAATTCAAGATGCGTAATATCAAGCGCAGCAAAGGTACGTTGGGCTTCAAATTCAAGCCAACAATCATAAAAACTTATATCAGTGATAACATAATAATCAATGTTAGTAAAACATCACTAAAGTCCAATCAAATAACACCGATGAACATCGAAATATCTCAAAATAGGTCAACCAATAATTCTAGGTCGCATTTGCTGGGTCAACAAAATTTTAGATCGAGTAAGATTGAAATGATGCCCACTTTGCGCGATGAAAACAATGACGTATTAAAATCGGAAGAGGCTAAATCCCCAACACAAAGCGTTTTTATAGCCAAATTCAATCTCCTCAAACCCCGAATAAATTCCCGCAATTCAAAATCTAGTCATAACTCGTCTCCTGAGGAGGAAATTCTCCAAAACGATTTTAAAAAGTACAAGAGTAACAAAAAGGTCGTGATAATATTATGCGGTTTCGTGTTAATGTATTGTTCCAGCATTATTCCCGCTTCCGTAATTTCATTGGTGTACACCTTTTCTACCAAGGAGGGCAACTTAGGGTTTAAGGCCAGGCTGAACGACGCCGACCTGATAGCTATAAGCGTCTTTTTGGATCAAGCAAATTATTGTTGGTGTTTTTACTTGTACACCTTTTTGGATTCCGTCTTCAGAGCTCATCTTTTAAGAGTAATTCGCTGTCAAAGAAATATCTCGCCAGTAATCTGAATTAAGGGATCAATTTCATATGTTAATTTAAATAGTAGCGATAGCTAGCAGTGTAAAATTTTATTCGAGTATTACTGTTTTATTATACTATATAAAAACGGTTTTTTTTTATAAAATGTAAGAAATGTATCTGTGTATAAAAACTGATTTAATATTTTTTGATAAATATTCTTAATTTATCATTTAGTTATTCAGTTGCGGATCTGAGTTCCCTAAATATCTCATATAATATATAATTAAGATTTTTTAATATGATCACCCTTTTACAAATTTGTAATATCACACTGAAAAGATTAATATTTTTATTGTATCGCAAAGAACTTAAATTCATGATAAAGAAAAATTGATATTCTTGCCAAATCTAGATAATAAATGATTGATATCATATTGATGTTTGACATGTATAACATATAATATTGTCATTTATATAAAACTAAATAATATAATCTATATTTAAACATCATTGAATATAAAAGTTATATATATCATTTACAACAATTTTTTATTATGGGATTTAATAATCATATTCATAAATAATTTTTTTGGGGGATCTGTGTAAATATTATGAATTTTTGAGTAATTATTTAATCATTTTAAAATTATCATTATAAATTTGAATTTAACATTTTTACTCCAAAACACCCTTTCCCATATTACCTTCTTCATATTTTAAGTACCATTCTTTTAGCTATGATAAAATGTGAATTCTAATCTAAAAAAATTCTTATATTTAGGTTCTTAATTCCTTTTTAAAAAGGTTTCATAGGCGTATCCAGCATTTTGCTGGAGGAAAGGGGGGGGGAACTATTAGTTACAGTTTGTTTTCTATTTATTATTAAATGGCGTCTGAAATGGAGTTCGATTAAAAATATTATATTATATAAAAAATTAATTCTAGAAATTATTATCTTGTTTGGAAATAAAAAAATAAAAAAATAGTAACATTACCTAAAAACCGCTTTGAAAAATCGTTTTGTCTGAAAGTGGCCTTATAATGATATATCATTTTTTGAGGAGAAGGTAGGGGGGGGGGGTATTAGAATTATGATATTTACGAACAGGCAAATTAGCAATGGAGAAGGGGAGGCAAAATTCTCCCCCCCCCATTGTTTATACGCCTGAAAGATTCTAACACGATCTGCGGTTTTGACTCTTCTAAATTCCTCCGATTTTATAACTAATCTAATTGTTATGAGAAATGGGACTTTTTCAGCTCTTGTTATTTTGTGGAGGGCATCATGTTTCGTTCAGTATAATTAGAATAAGTAACTTTTTAATCATCCCCGCTGATGCGTTACAAATTTTGAAATTTTATACTTTGTTTTATTTATATATATATATAATAAGTTAGTAATTTTCTAGATATTATTAGACTATAATTATTTTCAAATAATTTAATATATATAAACATTTGTAAATTAAATAAATTAATATAAATCTAAAATACTGTTATACAACGAGAGAATAAAAAAATAAATAAATTGCGTATTATATCCAACATATTAAAATATAATATTTTAAACTATATTGCCGATTTCTAGTATAGATAAAATATAGTGTTAATTGTATAAATTATTTTTGAACCCATTGAGAGTAAAGTTTTTGAGCAAGAATTTGCATCTGTTTTTTGCTGATATTGGCATCGACAATCTTTAATGTATATTGAAAAAAAATAATTTAAGTATCTTAATGTTAAAAGAAGGATTATATAATATATTTTTTCATGGCTTGTTAATTGTTAGAACTTGGATCAAATAATTTTTTTTTTATATCTACTTTAATCTTTAATTAGATAGCTATCCATCTGACTTAGGGAGTTCTGGCAAAATGACAGCTTACCACACTTACTCCGACAATATTATTATGACGAAAAAAACGGCTCAAATAATGCAAATTGATAATGAATAAATTTTTCCCTATTCGATAACATATAAAATAATTTTAAGAACCCCCCTAAAGTAAACATTTCAGCGTTTTTATGAGGTTAATACTTTTTATAAAAAATATATAAGTTTCTCGGAAAATATCTTTTCAGCTGATAACAAAATATATATAACAACTTAAAACATATTTTCTTTAATTATCCTGTAAACAATATTCTCAGTATATATTACAAAATTTATTTAAATCGTCACCATGCTATATTAAATGAATACATCATTTATATCTCCCTTAAAAAACAAATGGGGAAAGAAAAAAACTTTCAATTATTTAATTAAATTATTAGGATATGAAAGCTGCTCACGAAGCCAAATCAGAAAGAACAGAGATGAGGATGATTATGAGGATGTGCGGGGTATCTCTAGCAAGAAATTGCGAGCAAGATTGGGTATAAAAATATTGGAGTGGTAATGCGGAGAAAGAGACTAAGACGGCTTGGACATGTGGAACGTATGCCAAAAGATGACTGGGTAAAGGTAAGCACCTTGATGGAAATAGGAAGATCAAGACCTAGAGGAAGGCCCGAGATGACGTGGACAAATGTGATATCGGCGGATATGAGAAGCACGAATCTTACAAATATTGATGCTCAGGGCCGTCAAAAATGGAAAAGAAAAATCAGAGAGAAAACTGGCCTACCTGGGTAAACCTAGAAATCGCCATAGTAGAAGAAGAAGAAAATTAAATTATTAGGATATTAAATAAGTTGAATGTAAAAAAATTTGTTATTATTTCAATTTAATTTTTGTATATATTTAAAAATAAAACTTACCAATATTGGAATGTCCTCTGAAACTGTTCTCTGATACAGCCATTCCTCGTAATATTTGTGTAAATCTTTTATAAATTCCTTGTTTACGTAAAATGCGATATTCATATAAATGAATTTTATTTTATATTAGAAAATAATAAAGTTTTAATGGAATAAATAGTCAATAAAATGTCATTTCAAAGGGCAATTTTTAGCTGAAATTTAGCAATCCTTTTCTTTAAAAAAAAATTGTATTGAGATTGTAAAAATAAATTGATAATGTCAGTATAATGTAAGTTATTAATTGTCATTTTGCAATACAGTTTGCAGTAAATATATATTTTGATAAATTTTTATAATATTTCGGCAAAGGGAAGGACCAGAATCTAAAGAGATTCAGATAAGGAAAATTGTCGCGCATTTGAAGTTTTACTATTTTCAGTTCTCGTTGATTTGTAAATAATTTAATTTTTCGATAATTCAAAAATATATTAATTTTTTTTTTAAATTTATTTATATTTAGGTAAAAAAAAAGGACAAACAAACTTTATTGACACTTTTTTCTTCGGGTCTCGCGCGTTTCAGCATTCTTTGATAACAAATCTCTGGATCTAATCTTAAATATACTTTCGATATATAGATATAAAAAAAAACGATTATTTGAGAAAAAGATAGAGATAAAGGGTTTTTTGTGAGCTCATCGAATATCATTTTGATTTCTAAATGAGAGTTAGAAATTTTTGGATATAATCATTTTTTTCTAATTTTGCATCCCTATCGAAATTTTCATGATCTTTTTTAAAATCTGCTTTCAAATTTAGTTTTAATTTTATATACCAGGTATATTAATTATTGTAATAAATAATATATTATAAAAGGGTATGGGGAGAAGATTATTTACAAAAAGTTTAAAATTGGCTGACCTTTTTTAAATTGTGACAGCTTAGGAAGATACCCAAGCTAGCCCTCTCCTAAGCCCAGCCCTGGTATCTAAGACTGGGGAGGGAAGAGGGGTTAGGAGCATTTCCCATATATCTTTCAGGGTGGAAAAAATAATAATTTATGATAGGGGATCTTGCCCAGTTTTCTCTAAATGATTTTATTTGAGGACATTTAAAGAATTCAAAATCATTTTACAGAGTTTTCGATTTGTAGTTATGATATAAATTTGTCCTCCATAAATTATTGGCAATTCAATTCGAGTATTTTTCAAAGGATCATGGAATTTGGACTATGTGCTGACAGCAAGATTCTTCAAAAATCCCTAATAAAATAGCATCATCGTGAGGGCTCAAATATTGCAATGGATAATGTGGATGGTTTTTAATATTTTTATAACAAATTGACGAAAAACGGACATTAGCATATTAGGACATCCTCTATTTATCCAAATTTTGACAACAATATATATATGTTTAAAAAAAACCTTCTAATCCCAGATTGTTAAAGACTCATATATGCATATATATCCTCGCTCAATTTAGATTTTCCATTTTTAAGTTTATAATATCAAAATAAATATAATCTATTCAAACTATCTTCATAGGCTTAACAGTTATAAAAGCGTTTGACCCCTGACAAAAGTAATTTTTGGCGGGAGCTGAGTTTCAATTTTATATTTAGCAATACTTTAAAAAAAAAATCCCTTCTACATCATAAATATAAAAATTTTTTACCGATTAAATCGAATTTCCCAGACAAAAGTTTGCAGTGAAGCTCGTAAAATTCCTTTAGTATCATGTATTCGATGTCGTTCATAAAATCTCTATAAATAATTTTAAAAAATTATATACAACTGTTTATATTATTTTTCTTATAAAAGTTAATCCGAAATAAATGTTCAAAAAAAAACACTAAATCTTTAATAGAAGTTGGTTAGTGGCTAAAAAAAAAATTGGCTAGTTCGGCTTATTCTACAGGCGAGAGCCTAAGAAAATCCGATAAGCGCTGAGAGGCACGAGAGTTCCAAAATAAAACTACGAGATTTAAGCGAAAGTTTTCAGCTAAAAATTAGGTTAAAATGGCTTGAAAGAAAAAATAACTAAAATTTGGTTATTATCCTGCTAAAAATTGACTAAGAGCTGGGCAATCTCCCCAAATCTGGAATTCACTAACACATGCTAAATATATTGTCTCTCTTTTTCAAAAAAATAAAATAGTTTTGAACCCATTTCCCGATTCCTTAAATATTGTAATCTTCCTCCTAATATTGTTGTTTTTTTTTGTTCCTATAATATAGATGGATTTTTTGAAAGAAGGAAAAAAAAAATTAAAACCCTCTCTTGTTTATGCCATACCAATTAAAACCCTCTCTTGTTTATGCCATTACCATACCTTTTAACATTGCATTTTTTTAAAAAAACGTTTTTTTCCTCTCTCTCTCTCTCTATTTTAGAAAAATAATTCAGTTTTGGAGATTCAAAAAAAAAATGATTTAGAATTCTAATTGAAGATACATTTATGACTTAGATGTAGAAATGGGTACTAAACATTTTTTTTCTGGGTGAACATTAAAAACTAAAAAAAAAAGAAGGAATTTTCTTCTTCATTTCTAATAAATCTAGTTCTAAACGACCTGATTAATCAGTTACAGATAAGAATAACATAAAGGCTTTTTTAGATAAAAAAAAATTATTCGCAAATTGTTTTTCCTGAAAAATGCTAACTTCCGGTATATTTTTTTTTTGGAAAAACGGCTTATACGAAATCCTCGCGTAAAGATTCTGAATCTCTCAATTTCCTAAAAATAATTGATTTTACCGGAAACGTATTATAGTACGGTGTAGAGTAATACTTCCGCTATGAATTTCAGATAAATAATATATAATATTACGAGTAGTTGGCTAAAAAATGTCTTTTATATTTATAGTCACGTGCTGAAACACATTTCCGGTTAAAATCTAGCTTTCAGTATAAGTGAAATATTGAGAGATTTTGAATTCTAGTGTAAATATTTCCGAATATAAACTTATTATTACATAATTAAAATATGTTATATATATCAACATGGAACAGAACTTTCCGGAAGGATGTCTTGGAGAAAAAATTATGGAATTATAGAACTAAGAGAGAACGAGAAGAGTGATTCCCGAAAAATTCAATTCCCGGAAATAAATATATAAGTTATTTTTTATTGCATCATTATAATATTTATAATGGTTCATTCATATTTTCATTTAATTCCACTATTATTTATTACTCAAAAAAATCAATGAATAATAAACTAATATAATAAAAAATTTTTGTACTTTTCGTGCATAGTTTTGGAAAAAACGTTGAAAGTGGAATATAGGAAACGTTCATATATCTTGATCGAAGCGATAGGCTAAAGAGAGAAGAAAAAAAATACATATTTAAAATACTCGGTATTATAAAGGTGGCTTAAAATTCCTTTCAAAATCAAAAAAATATTTAAAGATGGCAAAAAATTAAAAAAATTTTTTTTTTATTGTTGTTTATTAATAATTTCCGAGCATTATTTATTATTATAATTTAAACTGAATCTTCGTCATCCAAAAGATCCATGAAAGATTTTTGCACTATGAATTGAAATGGGAACGACCAACGCTTTTGATTCCGGTAATATATATCCTTTTGGTCAAAAAAAGAGATAAAACATTATAAACTATTTTTTCAAATTCGGAGCATGTATATTATTATATTCGATATTATTTACCAACATATTATTCCCATAAAAGTTTGTCCATTTTTTGACAGGTTCTGGGTGACACTATAATTATTTTGTAATTTTAATGAATATATATATACAAATAAATATGCATACAATTAATAATGTTAAACCTTGATTAATTTTTTTTTAAATTGTTGTTAGACCCAGGTGGGTGTAGGGTACGGTAGAATATGGGCAAATTTATTAGAAATTATAATATGCATGCGTGTTGTAATCTTAAATTATTGTTTTTTCTTTTTCTTTCCAGAAATTTCGATGGTTGAAACACAATTAGTTGTTGTTTTTTTTTAAACTGACGGGTGCCTAAAAAGCGGAGGACTGACTGTGACAATTTTTTTCTGGCAAAGTGGTGGTTGTTACTACTCTGATTGCGCATATATTACATCGATTTTGGAGAGTATAAACATTTTAAATTCCATATAATATACTAATAGTAATAAAATATTTTATAAAAATGATACGATTTTTTTTAATCTTCAATTTATCACTTTCTGTTAGAAATATTCTTTATAAATTAATCCAATCCTAAAAATAATTATAAATGTCAAAGACCCACAGAGGTCTAAATTTTCTTCAAAGTTCAATTTTTAAACAAAAATATCACTTTCAAGCCCCTTAAGGATTTTTAACAATTTTAAGCCCGACCCATCAAAATCGTAGAAACATTTGACCTGCTCCAGTCCATACAACCAAAAAAAAATTATGAAGTAATTCAAAATATAGTCTCGACCATTCTCACTTCATATAGCACCTTAAGCTAAATAATTGTCATGCTGGACTCAAATGATGTAATATTCTTATATTGACGATTCATTAAATAAAAAAAAGTGCCCATACATAGGAGTCACCTATAGCGCCATTTTGTAGTTTCAGTGTCGAGCAATTGTCCTATTTATCATTATAAAAATCCATGTTAATGTCATTTAATAGGTGTACGAACCATAAATGGGCGCCACAGCTGACTTCCTATGAATGGATTCCGCCAATCTATATATATCATTGGATAGAAGAGTTTCATGAAAACAATCCAACATTTAAGTTGACTGATGTAATGAATAGTATAAACTTAATTATATTCCACCTGTGGATGCGTCATTTGCATTTTTTTTTGTTATGCAAAATAACAATTTTTTAAAAAAGTGATATATTGAGATTTTTTAGTTTATCTTTAGTAAATCCTAACAATTACAATTTTGTTTTAACAACTTTTAAAAATTTAAAATAAATGTGGAGGTTTTCAGAAATTTTTAAAAATAATTGAGAATGCTAATTTTTATTTTTTGGGGTGGATGGTGGGAGGGGGGTTATATGCATCATCATTCACCCCCCCCCCCACCCCTTGACGCCATTTTTTTCCTTTATATTATTAATTATTAGATATGTACTCTATCACATTATACAATCGTCATTGAAATTTCTCAATTTTAAATCATTTTGCTAAATGCGATTTTTTTAAATTTAGAAAGAAAAAAAAATCTAGTATTACATTGAATATGCTCCCTCGTGCGTGTAGAGTAGACCCACCTTATAAATATTTTAAACAATTTTCCTTTAACTAAAGAACTACTCTTAATTTATGCATAGATTTTTCATGTAGATTCTCAAAGAAGAATACACAAAAAGTTCATTGCGAAATTGTTTAAAATTCAGATGGTATGTTACACCAACATGTGCCAGAATACATCTCCGGTAAGAGGCTCATTTTTTAAATCTAAAAATCGCCTCCTTGATATTGGAGAGATTTCGAATTCCAACGTTGAAGGATTCCGAAATAAGTTGCTATTCCAAAAAAAAATTATCATAAAAAAATAGGTTTTAGTATATATGTGTTATAACGTCAATATGCTATTTTATCAACTTTAAATCATTGATTGAGCTTTTTTTTTTATAAAATATAGAACTGATTTTACCGGAAGTGTATTCCGACATGTTTAGAATACCTATCTTAAGAATTATAGATAATTTTTCTGTCAACCTTTGATTCATTTATAATTTATATAAAAAAGAATCTATGATAAAAACTTATATAAATTTTGCTTCAAAGGGTTCATGGCAAAAATTGGCCTGAAATTATTAGCGTATAGGTATTCCAAACATGATGGGAATTACATTTATGGTAAAATCAAATTCTTAAATTTTTTCTTAAAAAACAGGCTTAAAAATATTATTTAATTATTAAGTGTTTGGATAATGATATATAATTTACCGATACATCTGGAAGATCCCGGAAATAATTAAGAAGAGTCGACTTCCCTGAGCCCCCATTGCCTTCAATTATAACCTGGGAAAGCAATCATCCAGTAAAAGAAGAAAATACATAAATATTTATAAACTAATCAAAATACGAATATAATAATTACGTTCATTTGTCCTCCCCTTCGTTTTCTTCTCGTTTTTTGAATGAATCAAATATTAATAAAATTTATTTTTTTGGTAATGTTTTTTAAGAAATATGTTTTTAAAAAAAATATGTAAAACTAATTTAGTAAAGACATGATAATTATTTTATTTTTTTGGTAATGTTTTTAAAAAAATAAAACTAATTTAGTAACGACATGATAAATATTTTATTTTTAAAAAATGTGTAAAACTAATTTAGTAACGACTTGATGGAGAAAAAAGGCCAGAAAAACAATTTGTCCTTACATACTCATTTTAGTTTATTTTATCCTATTTTTTTGAAAAAAATTATAATTAATAATAGAGTTTAAATTATCTTTTTAATCATACAATCAACAATTACGAATTAATAGTACATGGATAATGTTCAGGCCTTGCCAGAGTTGATCCATATTTAAAAATAATCAAATAAAAATTTGTAAATTTTTTTTAAGCTATAATAATAATATATATATTTTTTTAAATGTCTTCATTTAAACCAAAATGGAAGCCTTAAGGCTTCGCAAATATATTGATATATTATATCGTGTATATTTTTTCCCCAATTTAAATTTTTTAATTTAAATTTTTTTTTTTTATTTATAAATAATTATTTATAAGTTTGAAATAAATAAGATTATACAAATAAATTTGTTTTCATATAAATTATTTAAGTCGCGAATCGATCGATGTGAAGCAAATTTTTTTTTATTTACACGGATAATGTTGTTAGGCGACCCGATGAGATGTTAGCCGAAATAATATTATGTAAGTCTTGCCTTGAGATTTAGGCAAATAAAGGTTCAAAACATTTCTGCTATCTACGAGCAAAATCTCCAAGCTTAAGTATAAGGCTGCAGAGTTTTCCCATCTTCCAGTCCGGCAAAAAACTATAAATCCTCGGATCTAGATCATGAGAGAGGGGGGGGGTGAAAATATTCTCTAAATCTCGAAAAGTATCTTTAAATTAAAAGCTAACATGAAGCTGTATAAGAGGTGTGTAAAAGGCGGGTTTTAGCTAACAATTCCGTCCGCTTACACACCAATGAATCTTTCTAATTTACCCCCCCCCCCCCGCCATTTTTAACCCGTCCACCCAATGTTTAAAAATGACAAATCGGGCCGTTTAACAACACTAAACACGGCCAATCTTTACCAATTTAAAGCAATACTTAAAGTTAATTTTTTTTTAATTCAAGGTTATCATGTAAGGTAAACGCTTGGTAAAGACCAAAGTTGGGCAGTACCGCGAATACTTATATATAAGATAGAAGATACTTTGTATCTTTTTTAACTTTAATACCTTCTACAATTCTTTACTGCATATCTTATATTGAAACTCCGTATTCCAAAATTTTTTCCATATTTTATTTGAACTGAAATAAAATATTTCTTAATACTCAGATGAAAATTCTTAATCACCCCCAAAGCTCAAACATATGAAATAGCTCAGAAAAACTCTTAAGATTTTTAAGAAAAATATCTGTGAATGAAATTCAGTTAAAAATAAACAAATTACAATCAGAATCACTTTTCTTTTTTTTTTTGTTTTCTATCTTTCTTTCTTTCTTTCTTTCTTTTCTTAACAGCTTAAAAAATTTGTAGATCAATTTTTTTTTGTATTCTCAAAAATAAATTTTTTTTAATTTATGAGGTTAAATTATAAATCTTTATTTTATTTGCAGCAAACCCATGAATAATTTGGTTTTTCATAATAAATTATTAATCATTTTACAAAAACAAAAAATAATTTTATTTTCCCACATAAAATTAAATTAAAAACATCTTATTATTTTTATATAATGATAATGTTATTGGAAAATCAAAATATGGTCAATTCATGATACATATTACATTACATTATAAAAATGTTTATCCTTAATAATAATGGGATATATATAAAACAAAAATATAATATTACATGAGCAATTATTTCATAATTTTTTTAACTAAAAACTTTTAAAGGATCCTCATCCATTTTTCATTTTAATGGCAGAAATCCGAAATTTGTTAATGATATTTGTACAAACGTAAGACTTCTCGACATTCTTTGTTAATGGCCAATTTTTGGGTCAAGGATAGACCCCGCACCCATTGATTTACGTGACTCTTGGGAGCCCTTCTGTAAGTGTTAAAACTTTCCTCCTTAAGATACTTTTCGGTATCTTTATTCGAATAGAAGTAGCGATTATTTTCGAAGCCCTCTAGCAAAACATCTTTTTTGATCCCCAAAAATGAGCCAAGTTTGAGCAAAGAGCTTGGGTGCCGGTTCACGAAATCCTCGTATTTGATTAAAGTCAAAATTTTGTCGTTGGAACGTTTTTCGTGAATCGCGTGATCGAATTTCATGGCGCGACACAATTTATTGGCCATCAATCGTAAGGGTTCTATGGTGTCCCAATGCAACTTTATCCGGCTGTAAATTATGGCTCTAGGATCCCTGACTAGATGTATAATTCCATATGATTTCCGGTTACCTATAAATAAAGTATAGTCAATATCTTTTTAAAAAAATTAAAAAAAGGTTGTAATGAATATTTTTAAAATTGGATAAATATACAAATTATGGGCTTAACATGTGACCAAGTGCGTAATCAATGGAGTAGGGGGGGGATTAAATTTGCCTGTTCTCGTAAATATTATTTTAAGCTGATAAAAATTTACACCCTAAATACATTCCACTCCCCCTCTACCTAAAAATGGTACACAATATATCACAATAACCTTGAATTCATAGTAACGCTATCGCGATATAACAGCTGATCGAGTCTTAAAAATAAGTATATGAGATCAATTATTTTTTTTATTAATATTAATTTTTAATAAAAGAAAAATGGATCACGTAAACAGATTTTTTTAAAAAAAACTGTCAGCTGAATTTAAGGTAAGGAAGAATTTGAAAGAAAAATTAATAAGCATTTATGACTTTTTAAAATACCGACACGACAATAATTCAAAAAGGAGCATTTTTTTTAAAATATAAAATAAACGAAAACCCAAAATTATTTTTTATAAAAATATAATACAGCCAAAAGGCCTATGGTAAAGTTCATAATGGCCTCCAATCATTTTATGGTAAAAGAAAACCCACCAAATAGTGCCCCCCCCCCACCATGGAAAAATACTTATCAAACAAAATAAGTTACTTAAATTTATAATAAAAAATACCGCCCGTAAATGTTTATCGCCCTTATAGGGCGCATAAATTCCGAGTTAGCGTTTTGTCGTTTTTAAATTTTTTTAAAAAAAGTAAAGCATCAGGGTGTTAGTTTGGAACAAAAAAAATATTCTAGCCTTAAAATCAAAAAAGTTTACGTTTTTATTTTAAAAATGGCTTCTAGAGTCAAACAGTTAATTTGACCTAGAACAAATGGTTTTATTGGACAAGATTTAGTGGAAACAATCGCAGAAAAATTATCGTCAATTGTTTATCGAGATAAAGCGCTAATCATTAGTTACAAGAGACCGTTAGAAAACAATAATTTAAGACGGACTACAAGAAACAAAGTTGTAAAGAAAGACTAGTATAATAGATAAATGTTGACTAGTAATGGTAAATCTTTTAAAAGCAAGCGTTAATCTGGTTCGTCAATCGCGTACAGAGATAAAGAGCTAATCATTTAACGGGGATTGAGAAGGCACAGAAGATAGGATTCAAGAATTTCAAACTGTTATTAAAAGAAATATACTTGTAAAGGCAAGGCAATAAAGCGGTAATCAGATACAAACTAAGAATACGAGACAAAGGTACGTCGTCGTTAAAACTTAGAAGACATTAAAGATTAAGAAAAATAGATTTGGTGGAGATACCAGATCAGTAAAGCAGAAATAGAAAGAAAATTGGTCGCTTGCAGAATGGTGAGTCTAACATAAGTGGAAGGGTGTTGTAATATTTAAGTGAAAACGAAAAATGTATATTATTCAAATTAGAAGAATTATTATATTATTTAACAGACTTTGTAAATGATTATTATAGAAAAAGATATATAATTGAGATTTTGTGAATATTATACCACTTTCTAATTTTTTGGGAAAGTATTTATTTTGTTTTATTTCTTTTAACCCCCTCTGTCTTTTAATTTTTATGTCTTATTATTTTTAATTATCCAATAAAGTGATAGTAAATTTATTTTATTTATATGTTTATATATATTCTAATTATTATTTTTCAGTTCTTTCTATAAGTACTATAGCATTCAAATAATAATAATAAAAAAATTTAAGAGAAGAGAAGATATTTTAATAGAGGTTAGTTAAAAAAACATCCCCATTTAAAATATCAAACATTTTATACTTTAATCAAATATAATTTATCAGAGTATATCGGAAACGTGACTAGGCCCATAACTGGACCTGGAGTGCGTAAAATCGGGTTGGGTTTAATAATAATAATAACAAAAAATATCTGTAAACCAGGACCAGGTCCGTCCTAAAAACATTACTTTTGCTTTACAAAACCCCGGATCATGTCAATTTTCTAAAAAAAATAAATTAAAAAATGAACATAAAATCGTTGGTAAATTTTATGAACGCTCAGTTAACAATCTTTTACTAATCACATATTTTTCAAAATTCCTGGTTTTAAGGTGTGAAAAATGTTTAAATTTGGGTCGGACTAATTAAGAATTTGGCCTCTACGGATGACTGGTATAAGAAATTAAAAAAAATTTAGAAGAGTTTTAATTGGAGGGAGAAACAGAGAACATAGTATAACAAATCTAAAAAAATTTAGAAGGGTTTTAATTGGAGGGAGAAACAGAAAATATACATTTTTCTTTTTGGTTCAAAATATAAATAAAATAGATTTTGATTGAATTAACGAAAACTCGTATTTTTACCAGATAAAATTTTAAATAAATTAATAGTCATATCAAACCTTTTTTCAATAATAGAAAAGAAAAAAATAAATAATTATTTTAAAAACCTTTTTCAAATTTTAAAGGATGATCATCATACACAGAGTTGAGCATTATTATGTAGTCCCTCAATCGACCCCGGACAAATTTTAGCACTTTAACAGGATTTCTTCGGCAAATTTCGGTAAAATTACCAGAGCTCATATGTCTCATTTTAATGCGGCAATCGTAAGATAATAAAGCGCGATTTTTGGATTCGTGAAAATATTTGTAACTATCATCCTTTCGATAAGAACAATTTAGATATTCGTTATATACTCGGCTCCTTGCCATTATATAAAGCTTAGGATCAACCATGTAATTAATCCAACCTAATTCATCAAGATTGGTAAAATTGCAAGTTTGTAGTGCTAAAAACACTTGGAGAGTAAATGGGGAGGTCCATTCGATCGTAGTAGTATTTAAATGTGAAGAAGGTGAGTCAAATCTGATAATGCTATTATCCAACAACCTGTTAGATCTGTCGTAAAAAAAATTGGTAGGTTCGTGCAAATATAAAGCATTTGTCATGAAGATATTCAGCGCATTGGCAACCAGGGAAGAACCACTTCTCATATAACTATAAACGACTATTGTTTGAACATTAACTTGACTTCTATCACCAGATTCGTTAGCCTCTGGTCTGAAAATTCCAACTTGATAATAAATAGTTATCAATTAAATCAATAAGATAGTTAAATTATAATTTGTTATTCGGGTTAGTAATAAAATTTAAATAAGTAGCATAATTTATCAATCTGATTAGTATAAAAAGTGGTATCGTTTCTATTAAACAATATTAATATATATAACATGCCATATCTTCATACATATCAAGAATGATTCATGCATAAACCAATTAAATTTACTTTAACTTTGATAAAATGCCAAATATATATTTATCCCAAAGAATATTATGGCAGCTATGAGAGCGGTTATGTAAATGTTATATCTATTCATATCAAATATTTACCTGAGAAACAAAATATTTAGAAATAATAAAATTAGTTATAAAATAAAATTCAATCATAATAAAATAAATAAGGGCGCGAGACCTTATATCCGTAGGTACCCAGCATCAGTTTTTAAAATGTCCGATAGAATTCTAAAAGGGCTTGCCAATGTTGATATAAATTTCATTTTAAAAAATAGATATATTTCTGATGCCTTTTTTTAATGGTGTATTTTTAAAATATAAACTAACAAATACATACATTTTATTTATTAATACTAAATATTTTTATTAAATTTTAATAATAATCATTTTAAGGTTGAATTAAGGAGATATCTTCACTGTGAAATATTCAATTTGTACATAAAAGTAATTGTCAAGGCATTGTTTCACATTGAAATTTTCGCCATGTTGTATAATCGGTTCTTCAAAAAATGAACAATGTTTATTTTATGAAAATTGTACAAATTAAAAAACTCATAAGTCGCGAGAAATGGTATATTCCTTAAGCGTAAACAGAAAATTTGAATCTACCCCTATCCTCCTTAAAAAAATAACAGTTATTAAAAAATTATAAGCCAACACAAAAAAATTCAAATTTAAACTCTTTCACGCCTCAAGATCTAGGCTAGGAATAACAAATAAATATCTATTGATGATGAAGAAAATTTTCTCCTTCGGAAATTTGACTGTTCTTATGAATATTATTTGAAGATAATTCAAATTTCCCCCTAAGTAGCTTCCACCCTAAAACATGTGTACGGTATACTACTATAAATAAATAAACAAGAAAATGAAAGGAAAATTAATAAATTTATAATTAAAAAAATATTTTTAAAAAAGAAAAAGTGAAAACCCCCTACAATAAATTAACCTTAATTAAATATATGGAGGAAACCCCCAACTATTAGTGCCCCCCCCCCCCCCCACTTAGCAAAACCTGGCTACGCTTATGTATTAAATGCTAAATTATTATGTAAAAATACAAATTTATATATGCATATATGATTCGAATGTAAACTCCATTATATTATTAGAAATGATTTTTATAAAATTATTTTATCATTAATTAATAAATTATATTATTTATAGAATGTTACTTGCAAAATTTTTATATATTCGAAATCACAAATATTTAATGCTCTTTAATATATAATTATTCTTTAAATATTATATAAAAATATTTATTTTGAAAAACAAAATAAATATTTAACACTTCAATTACAACATCAATCCATATGAAAATCAAAAAATATTTTTGCCACCGCGCGAAAATAATTATAAAATTATTAGGTTTTTTTTTCTTGGCGCTTTTTACCAAATTGAAAAAAAATAAATAAAATTTATATTTTTTAAAGAGATTATTTTTAATATAATATATAACACAGAAATGTATTTTTATATTTAAGATTTAAAAGATAATTTTTAAACAAAAGCTAGGTGGGAAAATTTGAAAAAAGAAAATTTAAATTTATGAGATATTTAGAAATGGATAAGCTTGAAAAGTATAAATTCTTACTAAAATATGTAAAATAGTCAGTTTTATATTATAAAATAGAGAAAATTGCTTCAAATTACGGCATTATATAGAGATGTCGAAAGCAAAAAATGCGGAAATACAGCAAGATTTGTACAACAATGCAACCAACAAATTGGATAACGAAATTTACAATCACCAAAAAAACGTACAATCGCTCAAAATAGATACAAGCCCTGTTTTCAAAGTAAGCCTCAATATACCCATTTTTTTAAAAAACATAAATAGTTATGAAAAAGTAATGACATTCATTTTTCTTAATTAATAAATATTAGAAAAGTAGTCAACACAATATCTTAAGAAGTTCAGAGGGTAAAGCCTGCAAATCATTGAAATTTTTACCTCAGGAAAAGAGTCATTTATTTTCTCCAATCAAATATCAAAAAGCTGATAATAATCCTATACCCAAACTAAATTGGGCAGATAATCATAATGTATTATTAAAAATCATTTGTTCTTAAATGAATTACTGATTTGTTTTTTTTATAACATTTAGTTATGGAAATTACTAAAAGAAAGTGAAAATAGATTAGAATCAAAGGCCAATTTGTTAAACAATCATCCAGATCTCAATAATCACATGTTACAAGTTTTATTTGATTGGCTGAGTGAAGTAATTTATAAAATAATAAATAAAAATTTTAAAACATATTAAGGTATGTGGGGTCATGAACCTGAAAAGAGTCACCTACCATTTAACTTTGCATTTAGTAAATACCTATATTTACAGAGAATTTAATATTAAAAGAAATATATTGCAACTCATAGGCATAACAAGCTTATTTATAGCTGCAAAAATTCAAGTTTCAAATCATAATACATTTTTTTTGTTATATATAACTGTTAAACAGGAAATTTATCCTCCAAGGCTTAAAATGTTAGCTTATTTTACGGACCATGCCTGTTTACAAGAAGATATCTTATTACAAGAATTATATTCCTTACAGGTAAAATGTATAATAAATAGTATATAAAAATTAATATAATTTTAAGGTGCTAAATTGGGAAATCAATATAATGACATGCATTGATTGGTTAGGCCTCTATTTCCAAATATTATCCCATAAAATATTTTTAAAACAACAGCCAAACAATGAGAAATTGTTTGAAAATATCAAATCATGTTCCACATACTCATACATTCAAATTGCTCAAGTAAATATTTTATAAAAATTGTATGATGTATTAATAAATAGAAATCTAAAATAAACATAATATAATTTTTTATTTTATTTTAAAAATAATTACCTTAAATACTTCAAAAACTACAAACCCACATAATCTACCCTAGAATATAGTGTAAAATGGTATTATTTTTTAAAAAATGTGTTGGCTTAAAAAAATATTATAATAGGAACCAGACAACTTAGCTAGCTAAAAATAGGAACTAAGTCTAGATTTTAGGTGGTTTTTTGAAAAAATTTTGCAATTCTTATGATTTAAACATTATATTTAAAAAAAATTAAATAGATTTATAAATAAAAATGCTGTAAAAAATAAAATATGAAACATTTAACGTAAGTTAAAAAGAGTTGAAAAATAAAATATGAAACATTTAACGTAAGTTAAAAAGAGTTGGAAAGAAGCCCTCTAAATCAATTTTTTTCAGCCCAAATTTTTTCAGTTAAGAAATATATTCGAAACACATTTTTATGAAGTTAAATGAATTAAAAATCACTAATTACATTCTCCTTATCACTAAATTAAATTCTAATTATAATTTTCTCATCTAAACCCTAGTAACTGAGACTTTGAACAGGTTTTAAAGCTCAATCTGGGCAAGGAATCAATAATCGCAAAATTACATTCCTGAATATGGAAAATGACTATTGTTGCCTTTGGTATAGATCAACACCTTCCCAATTTTTTTTAAATAAAATTAGGAAAAAATTTAGACAAAAATATACAATTTTAGATATTTGAATAATAAGATAATTTTAAAAATATTAAACTTTTAAAAAAAATTTTATTATTGTCTAGTGACTTTTTATCTAAGTTGCATTTGTCCATAACCTTTCTATTCAATTCTAGAATTTTGAACTATCTTCTAGTTTTTTTCTACAGTGTCTTTTTGCCTTAGTTGCTTCTTCCTAGAACCTTTCTATTCATATTTCAATTCTAGAATTTTGAACTACCTTCTAGTTTTTTTCTACAGTGTCTTTTTGCCTTAGTTGCTTTTTCCTAGAACCTTTCTGTCCTTAATTTGCCTTTAGAATGCAGAACTATCTATCTAGCTATTTTTAAAATAGTTGTGCTTCATTCTAATTATTTTTGAAAAGATTTATATCATTTTGTTCCAGTTTGGGAATTAATGTTTGTTCATTATCTTTTCATAAGCTATAGATTGTGAATTATATTTAATGACCCATACTAACATTATATATATATTTTAAAAAAAAAATTGAATAAATTTCTTAATTTTATTAAAAACTTGTAGAATAATTAAAATTAAGTATCAAAATAATCAAATATAAATCTGTACTATTTAATTTTTTAGATATTTAAAATTATACTAATCATTTAAAATTCATAAATATATTTTGAAAACCATTATTAACAAGTTAGAAAGTATTTATAAGTTTTTTGTTCTGTTTTTTTTTGAGATTTTATTATAAAAATTTGGATATGGTTCAGAGAATTCTTGGTTTCAGTTTAGTTTGGTTTAACTCCCTAATAAGTGCAAAATCTTCATGTTATCAGAGTAAAAGTTGTCATTGGAAGAAAAGTATATTGAAAATGTTTATAAATATCTTAAATTAGAGATTTTCAAAGTCCTGCTCATTTTGGTCCATAAAAATTTTTTTAAAATTTTCCCAGCCCATAAAAGCCAGGCCAGGCTTGTTATAAAATGTCTGAGTCAAAATTGTTAAAATTTTTTGATTTTCATATTTTTAATATGTATGTCTACTTTTTTCAGTGTTATTTAATGCTCCTTTCCTCAATATCTATCTATTTTTTTGTGTCTGCTATCTGTATTGTGTTTTAAGTCAATTTTTCAAAATGGCTAACTCAATAATTCATCCTTAAAAATATTACGTAAGCCTAAAGTTTTGTTCATAGAAGGAAAAAAGGTCTATACATATTAACGAAATCTCTAGGCTTAGGTAATATTTTTCTGACTAAAATATTGAGTTAGCCGTTTTTCAAAATCGGCTCAAAACGAGACATTTAATAAAACTAGTTTGGACCAATTTTTAGTACAAATCCAGATATTATTCACTTGAAAAGAGTTTTTCCTAATTTATTCTTCACAATTCGTTCAAAAAGGCCGTAATTTTTCTCAAATATGATATTGAGAGTATAGTAATAAAATGCTATAATGAATTTAGCAACTCGACAAAAAGAGTTACAATTTTAAAAGAATTGGTAGAATGGTGCGATTTAGAATGGTCAGAATTACTTCGCCATGTTCCAACACGCTGGCTTACATTAATCCCAGCAATGCAGATGCTTAAGTATTTTCAACCCCTTAAAGAATATTTTTTATCATTATCAGTAACCCCATGAATTTTGAAAATATTTTTTGAAGATGATTTTGCAGAGGCCTATTTAGGTGTTGTTCTTAATGTTGGCACCTTAGTTAATAACATAAATTTACAATTGCAATCTGAAGATGTATTAGCAATATATACACATGATCTTATCCTAAAATTAAAGAATTCATTAAATTTAAAAATTCAACAAGATTTTTATGGGAGCATTTCTAAAAATATTTTACAACAAAATAATGATGTAGAAAAGGCAATAAATTTCAATAATGAATCATTATAGATTATGTAGAAAAACATTATGATATAATAGATAATATAGGGAAATATCATAGCCCTATCACATTGGATAAATGTCCAGCATTTGAGCAATTACAAAAAAATTATTATTAATTATAAAATACCAGATATAGATATAGATATTCTCTTTGAGGAATATTCCCAATTTTATTCATATTATGAAGAAAAATTATCAAAAAACAATCCTATGAATGTCCAAGAAAAATAGATGGAATTCCTCTTTAATAAAAATTTACCCTTGTTAGAGAAAATATGCGATTTTATATTTTCTATTCCGCATTCAAATGCTTCATCCGAGATAATATTCAGTTTAATGAATACTGCTTGGAGAAAAGAACACAATCGATTACATTTATCAACATTGGATGCGGAACTTATGGTGAAACAAAATTTTAATTATTCATGTAAAGAGTTCTCAGCTTATCTCCACAGTGTTGATGGGAACTCTTTATTACCTCTTTTAAAATCATCTATAAAATATAATAATTAATATTATGCGATATTTATAACATGGAAAATTATACATTATAATAAGATTAGTAAATCAATAAAGAAGTTGAATTTTCATTGTCTTAAAATTTTTTTAAATATAATATATTAACATAGATTAGTATGTTATATCAACATCCCTGACAGAAGGCCCACAAATTGGGGGGTATGGGAAGCGAAGCCCCCCATTAAAAGAAAAACTCACGTTTTCAAGTGAATAATATCTGGATTTGTACTAAAAATTGGTCCAAACTAGTTTTATTAAATGTCTCGTTTTGAGCCGATTTTGAAAAAAGGCTAACTCAATATGTTGTAAAAATTTTTTAGAAATGCTCCCATAAAAATTTTGTTGAATTTTTAAATTTAATGAATTCTTTAATTTTAGGATAAGATCATGTATATATATTGCTAATACATCTTCAGATTGCAATTGTAAATTTATGTTATTAACTAAAGTGCCAACATTAAGAACAACAACACCTAAATAGGCCTCTGCAAAATCATCTTCAAAAAATATTTTCAAAATTGGTGGGGTTACTAATAATGATAAAAAATATTCTTTAAGGGGTTGAAAATACTTAAGCATCCGCATTGCTGGGATTAATGTAAGCCAGCATGTTGGAACATGGCAAAGTAATTCTGACCATTCTAAATCGCACCATTCTACCAATTCTTTTAAAATTGTAACTCTTTTTGTCGAGTTGCTAAATTCATTATAGCATTTTATTACTATACTCTCAATATCATATTTGAGAAAAATTACGGTCTTTTTGAACGAATTGTGAAGAATAAATTAGGGGTATGGCGGGCGAAGCCCCCCATTAAAAGAAAAACTCACGTTTTCAAGTGAATAATATCTGGATTTGTACTAAAAATTGGTCCAAACTTTTGAGCCGATTTGAAAAACGGCTAACTCAATATTTTAGTCGGAAAAATATTACCTAAGCCTAGAGATTTCGTTAATATGTATAGAGCTTTTTTCCTTCTATGAACAAAACCTTTAGGCTTGCGTAATATTTTTAAGGATGAATTATTGAGTTCGCCATTTTGAAAAATCGACTTAAAATCAGACAGGGCCCTGCAATTATCTGAGTTATCTTAAAAATTTGATTTCTTTATTTTAAATCTACAATTCAAAAATAAATCAGTTATATTAAATTACAAATACACAATACAGTTAGCAGGCACAAAAAAATAGATAGATATTGAGGAGCAAGGAGCATTAAATAATGCTGAAATATGAAGATTAAAAAATTTTAACAATTTTGGCTCAGACATTTTATAATAAGCCTGGCCTGGCTTTTATGGACTAAGAAAATTTTAAAAAATTTTTTATGGACCAAAATGAGCAGGACCTTGAAAATCTATAATTTAAGATATTTATAAACATTTTCAATATGCTATTCTTCCAATGACAACTTTTACCCTGATAACATATGAGGACTTTGCACTTACTAGTGAGTTAAACCAAACTAAACTGAAACCATGAATTCTCTG